CACAGCTAAACACTGAACTGAACCGGAATCCAGTTGCAGAGAAGGAGGACCGATTAGCAAGGTGGTCCAGACCAGGCTGGTGAAACCCACAGAAACAGCTGACCTGAACAAGGGGGAGCTCTTTGTCCCCAGACTGATAGCTGGGAAACCAGCATGGGACTGATCCAGACCCCATGCATGTGCGTGTCAGTGAGGAGACCTCGGAAATCCATGGGGCCTCCTGTAGTAGATCAGTACTTATCCCTAGTGTAGGTATGGACTTTGGGAGCCCATTCCACATAGAGGGATACTCCTTGAGCCAAGACAGACTCTGAAGACCCTCTATGGAAGGCCTCACCCTTCCTGGGGAGCAGAAAGGGTATAGGGTAGGTAGGGTTTTAGTTGAGGGGGTGGCAGGGGAGGAGGGGAGGGAGAGGGAACTGGGATTGACATGTAAAACAATCTTGTTTCTAATTCAAATAAAAAAATGAAAAAAAAAAAGAAAAAAGAAAAAGAAAACTCCATCTGTGCCACCCAGGACCAGTGAAGGGGTTCTTGAAGCTTCATGGAGGATTATCAATGTAGGGCCTCTTGCTCAAAAGTTAATCAGTATTTTCACATGGTAAAGAAGGAGCTCTGGGCCCTTGAAGCTTCTCAGGTTATGTAGAGAGATGTTCTGCCACACCCTCCTAGAGTCCAGGGAGGCAAATCTGCATAGGTACCAACCAGGGAATGGTCTACAGTACATGCATTTGGGGGTAGTGTGACAAGCATGGCTAACACTTAGTCATGCAAGGAGAGGACTACACTCAAGCTCACTTGTGAGGAATGTATGGACCACAAAAGCTGCCTTAAGTTTACTTCTCTGAAACAGGCAAAACGTTTAAATGTCTTTTATTTCAAGAAATGTTGCTTCTAGACTTTCCTGAAGCCAGAATTGTTCTATAAAAGTATCATAGAGCATTACATATGATTAAAAAACCCCATAGGACACTTCCTAATATCTTGAAATCTCTTTACAAAGCACATCATTCAAGACCATAAATATGTTTATTCTGTCAGTACACAGCTGCCAGCCATATCTGATAAAACAGCCAGTTAGCTTTAGCCTATGCAGACTCTATGAGAAAGATTCAAAATTACCAAGGATTCAACTATACCACATGAAATTTTCTTTAAAAGTGTTTACCTTAAACACTTAAAGAAAACAGAATTTATGTACATGTTTGAATTATCTAAAAGTGAAAATAAAGCCACCATCAAGCTAAAACAACAACAACAACAACAACAAGTAGATCTTGGGAAGTTGAAGAGGACCATGAAAATTCTCAGTGAGGTAATCCTTCAACTGGTCTCTAAAAGTCCGAGAGGAACAGGGTGATAGCAAGAGTACAGATTTTAAAAAGCAGTTTTGAACTATATTTTTATAGAAAAACCAGAGCTTGGTGACAGTTTTTAAAATATTCACGTATCACAATGTTTATAAACCAAATCTCCCTACTGGTGTGTTTAAATTTTACAATACTTGTGATTTTAGTTTATTAAAATTGTCTTGTATAAAGTCAAAACTACACATATTTTCCCAATGCTTAAGCTTATTAACCAAATGAAGAAAAAAAAAAGAAGATTAAAGTAAAATGTGCTTTGGGGCTTTGTCCTGTCTCTTCTTTCAAAATTTAGTAGTATTGAGCATATAGTAAGCACACAGAGAGAAACCAGGGTTTTTTTGTCTTGTTTATTACTTATTCACTCATTTTTATTTTATTTTTTACCACCAACATTGTGAGCCATGCCTTTCTGCTAATCAATTTTAGCACGTCAAGGGATAAAATACATGCAATGTTTTCTGAAAAAAAAAAGCATACATTAAACAATATGTGATCCATACTGTATGTCATCACTGGGGGGAGTCTACTCCTTTGTCCTGCCTAGGACAAACAGTGTGCTAAGCCCATTTTGAAAAGAAATAACAATACTACCAACCAAACAGACACAGCATTTCAAACTCAAAGTGCAAAATCATTGAACCAAAGATGATGATGTTGAATAATTCCAGTGGTTAGAAATGAATCCAAACTTCATTATGCAGGCAGGGAAGGTGTGTCGACAGATTCACCAAGGGTGTCAAGCTTTCAAAACTTACAAAGGCACAATTCTAGCCATTTTGACTGGATAGACTTTATATACGCATGTCCCTACAATATTCAAAAGATAATACTGTTTTAGTACCAAAAACAAAGCAACAAAACAGATAATGCCCCCCACCTTTCTCTTCTTGGGAAAACAGTGAGTTACAACGAGTCTACGTGTGAGCATCACCTGCACATGTGCACATGAATTTCAACTGTGCAAAGGTACCCAGGGGAGCTCAAAATGTTGGCAGCTACGATTGCCACCACTAGTTTACTAATAAAAACGTAGAAAGGTTTAGGCAACATTTTATCTAATCAGAGGTGAGTGGAGAGGAGGCACTGCCTTCTAGATTGGGTATCCACTCCTTTGTGTCATTCTTCTGCATCTTGGTCAATATTCTCTCTGTGTGGCTGGAATGAATAGGCTGCTCCACACTGGACACATTGAACACTTGATGAACAGAAGTTCTGTCAGAATGAACATGAGGATGCAATTGCTCTTCAAAAGCGTCCTCTTCTGGCTCCACATCCTGGGGACGTCCTCGTTGATGCTGGCCGATGGGCTGCAGCTTTCGATGTGACTGGAACACCAGCTCTGTCATGCCATTGCCACTGATGTCACCGTCAAGATGGTGAATCTCCTCCCATCCCATCTGTTTTTCAGTTTTACTTTTTCTCCAGTGTTCAGAATTCAAATGATTCACTTCTGGAATGTCGTTATTCCATTCAAGTTTTCTCTCTGGACTTAAAGTTGGTCTGTTCAAATACAGGGTTTGGAGGTTGGCTGGCAAGGTCAAGGGAGGTGCTTCCCCAACCACATGACTTGGGTCTTCACCTGACTCTGCAGAGGCCATCTCTGTTGACACCAAGAACTCAGCAGAGGTGACAGGGAGGCCACCACTTTGAGCAGTTGGAATCCCATCTGCTTTGTTTTGCTCAGAGTGACTGTTCAGCAGTGCGAATGTTCTATCTACAGCCTTCAGGTAACTAGTCCAGTCCTCCAGACTCAGTCTAGGGTTTTGTCTTTACTCATCAGTGTGGTCATTCCCACTGGATAACTCCTCCAGGCCTTGCCAGTTGGTGTCTGAAGTGACAATGGGCTGACTAACCTTCCCATCCATCCCATAATTGTCCTCTGTGAAAAGAGAAGGCAAGGGACCTCATTAGTGCAACACAATGTTGTTGACTCAACTGGATGAGCAATGTAATTATTTTATAAATTAATTTGAAATGTAATAATGAAAAGTACTTTTTACTCCTAGTATTTGGATGTTGAGGAGTAATCTTGACATCCAAAGGTGACTGAATGACAATAAAAATTGGAAAAGGGGGAGACTGGAGGTTAAGTCAGTTGGTAAAGTGTTGCATAGCATGCACAAAAGCCTGGGATTGGTTCCTAAACCACACAAAACTGTAATCACAGCACTCAGGAGGTGGATGCAGGGGAATGAGAATTTCAAGGCCATTCTTGGCTGCACAGAGAGCTAGAGGTCAGCCTTGATACATGAAATATTGTCTTTAAAATAAAAATTGGAAAAACTACCCAACAAGTGAAAACTTCTGTTAAGCAAGCATGGCTGGTGTGGAAATGACACTGTCCTTCCTAATGAAGGGACAGAGATGGCTCACCTCAGTCGCCCAGCTGTCCAATGACAGCATGATATTTTAATTTAGTAGGTAAATGCTTAGTGCAATATTTGTATTTTATAGTCCTTGGTACTCGGTTACAAAACCAAATTTGAATGCAAATGCAATTAAGCTCTTCAAGTGAGACACTCAGAAGTGTTTCTTCATATTCGTGGTTCTTCATGGATGTATGCTTCCAGGAAGCCTCTATGTGAGTGGGTTTTACATGTGTACACTGCACACTAGCTTTCTTCCTGACAGTACACCACTGTGCTCAGATGAATCTTAGAAAAAAGCACCCCAGACTAGCAGAATGGACTCCTCACAGCTATGCAGCAACAAGGAAAGTCAGAAGGCTACACAAAACCCACACCTTTGATGGAACCATAAGAGAGATGGTTGTGGTCTTCAGGTCACCTGTAAGCAGGAAAAAAAAAAGAAGGAATACCAAATAATGAATACCACCCCCATCCCTAGAGTTGTGAACCACACTTTGGCACCAGCCTTGGGGAAAAAGTAGGGAAGAGAAGTGAGGATAGAACTCAGGTTGACTTGAAGTTGCCTGAAAAGAAATATGATCCCCATGTGTGAGACACTGTCAAGAGTCCAGGTGAGTCATGGCCCTGAAGACAACGGAGGATGCTGGAAGGGATTCACGATGGCAGACTCTGTGAAGTGTGCTCCAGCGAGAGAGGAAACAAAGAAAGGGAAAAAGATTCAGGTGGGAGAGGAAGAGGGAAGCAAAAGGGAAGACATTTCAGGTCCACCAGAAGGCATGTGATTTGCCCCATTCCCAGCCCCTGGTAGTTAAATGGTAAGGACATAGTATATTGGGTTATACCAACAGGAACCTTTAAACCAGAAATCACGTAAATTCTCCAAATTAATGAAATAAAAGCCAACTAAGTACTTACATAATTATTCTAAAAGAAAACATAAAAAAATAAATAAAAATAGTATCTTGATGAAAACGCAGCTGCCCAAATCAGCCACATGGCAGTAATGGGTCCGTCAATCAAGCATCCGAGAATGTCTTGGGTAAGAAAATAGTTTGTATCAAGAATCTTATAGCCAGCCAAGCCCTCCTTCAGGACTCAAGGCCATAGGAAACAGTTGGACACCACAAGAAAACAAGGGAAAGTGACTGAAAGCAATGTGACCCTTGCTAAGTTTCAAAGGGGGGGGGGAAACAGCAATTAACTTCATGAGGAAGAAATGATGGAGGATGCAAGGTGAAATATATGGGCACGTAATAAAAGAAGCTCCCCACCCAAGACAGGAATAAGCAAGAGGACTTCCTGGAACATCGTTGGAACCACTAAGGGAACCCTTTGCGTGTGCCTCCTTGAGGTACTAGTTATGTGTATGACGTGAGTGGACAGGTCATGGGCTGCAGTAATGTGAAGATGGTCCAAAGCTACATGTATTTTCTCATACCTCTTTAGTCATGTAATGCTGACTAGAGCTGTTCCATAGGCCCACCAGAAAGGTAAAGGATTTAGATGGTCGTGGGGAAAATTTCCCCAGTTCACAGCTGGCAGGTGGACTACACAGGGCTCAAGGTGCTTCCTGGGTCTGGACAGGAACACACTCTCGGGACTGGGATCTGTAATCCCAGTGGTAGATGAAATGGTCAAAAACATCACTACAGGTTTGAAACAGAAGATATGGACCAGTTCAGACTGCCGAGTTACATATTTTCACACCCATGGATACTTTTTGCTTCTTAGGCTAAGCAGCTATTATGTCTCTCTCTCTCTCTCTCTCTCTCTCTCTCTCCCTTCCTTCCTTCTTTTTTTGTTTTTCTTTTTTTGATTTTGGGTTTTGAAGACAGGGTTTCTTTGGGAAGCTTCAGCTGCTGTGGAACTAGCTCTGTAGGCCAGGTTGGCCTTGAACTCACAGAGATCCACCCGTCTCTGCCTCCCCAGTGTTGGGATTGAAAGGACACATCACCATTTTATGCCTGGCTGCTATTTCACATTTTAAATGGATACGTTGAGTTAAATAGACACAGCCTACTGCATAGAATATTCAGAGTCCTGGCTCCATAGGGAATTATCAGAGAAGTTGATGTATCTGCTGTGTAAGTGAGAGGAGAAACGGGTACCAGCGAAGGAAGCTAAAAGAGGACCGACCACCACTGGGTAGGTTTCAAGCTGTATAAGGAAGAGTGAATAGGGGAAGATGCTGGTGCAACTATGTAGTTCTTCGTGTCACCCCAATCTCCTCTTCATCCAGGTCCTCCAGGTGCAAATGCACAAGAAGCAGCTTGCTGAAGCTGACCCAGCAGAGACAGGAAGCTGAAACAGCAGTCTCCATCAAAGCAGGGGCTATTAAAACCACTCAGCAAGGAAGCATTGGGTCCACATGGTTTCTCTAGGTGGCAAGATGTTGCCCACCTAGAGCCCTGATGCTCTACTAGCTTGTAGAAAACAGAAAGGAAGAGAGAGCATCAGGAGAGAAACAAGTGTAACCCTGAGGGTACAGTAAGGCAGAACGATGGTCCCGTTTACCTCAGAGCTGTCCACATCCAACCCCTCAGAAGCCACAGGAATCACTTTAGGAGGCAAAAGGGAGCTTGCATGTGTGACAAAGTTATGGGTCTTGATGGGGCAATGTTCAGGTGAAGTGAAGATAACCACCAGGGGAGTCCTTAGGGAGATGGTAGTATCGAGAAGCAGGAAGGTCAGGGGAGCCTTACTGTGGAACGCATAGGAGAAGCATGGAGGTGGAGAGGAACTAGAGATGCTTACGGTGCTGCCTTCAAAGACGGAGCCATGGACAAGGAATTGGCAGCCACTTGAGAAATCAGAAAGGACAAAGAAACAGAGTTCTATGAAGCCCTGAAATGAATGCAAGCCCACTGACACGTTTAAGGCCAGAAAGAGTCATTTTAGACTTCTTGCCCCTGGAAATGCAAGGGAATAAGTGTATGCTGTTTGGAGATGTGACAGCAAATTGCTGCTGCGACCATAAGAAACAAAGATCATAGTTGAATAATAGTGCTAGCACCAAGAGAAGGAAGATTATAGGCAGATATTGCTGGTAAATGTGATGCAAGTTCCTTATAACCACTAGTGAAAAGAAAAGCATGAACAGTGACCTAAATAAAAATCAGTTGAGGAATGAAAGGCTTATTTTTCTTAGTAGATATATTAATGTAATGTAGCTTATTCATAAATCTAAAGAGGACAAATTATCTGAGAGCTCATAGTTGCTGAAAATCAGTTTGACAAATTCAATTCTCACTAATGGTAAAAGCACTGACAAGAAAATTCATGGCGGGGCTGGAGAGATGGCTCAGAGGTTAAGAGCACTGACTGTTCTTCCAGAGGTCCTGAGTTCAATTCCCAGCAACCACATGGTAGCTCACAACCATCTGTAATGAGATCTGGTGCCCTCTTCTGGCCTGTAGGCATACATGCAGGCAGAATACTGTATACATAATAAATAAATAAAAATCTTAAAAAAAAACCCAAACAAAAAAAAAAGAAAAGAAAAGAAAAGAAAATTCATGGCAATGGCATACTCAGTTCCAAAGTTTCTCTCTCTCTCCTGATGGGGATAGCCTAAAGGCACCCTCATTAGGATTAAGCACAAGGTGAGGGCACGCTGGAAGAATTAGCTCACTTCTGAGACAGTCTACATAGGTAAAGGGATGGACATGGATGCAGCAGCTGTGCACATGTCAAGTCCACATCTGGTGGCCACTTTCCAGACCTCTCAAATAGGAGTCGGTGTCCAGGAATGGTTTCTTCTAAATGTTGGGTGACAAAAATTTTCAGGACCTATTTCAGAGCATCAAACAAGTATTCAAGAACAAGGGGGAATGTTCCAGAATCACACAGAGGACTTAAAGGGACACTAGTGACCTTACAATAATGATGGGAAAAGAATATCCTGAGGAAAAAGAGGTTTTCTCCATCTTTACATAAACGATGAATTGGGAAGTCACTTCTTCACGGAAGAATACATTGAGAAGCACCGGAGGAACAATGGAGCTGGAGAAAAAATCCATTTGCTGCCATCACATTAATAATGAATAATGCAATGCTGGAATGGGGCTCAGTGATAGAGTGCTTGCTCCAACACCAGACAAAATCAAACAAGCACAATGAATGATCAGGCAAAAATCACAACTGCCAGCAAAAGCTAGTAGACCGTCTGTTCATTAGAGATAAAGACAAACAATTGCATAGTGATTAGCCTAGCAAACAATACATTAGCCAAAAACAAACACCCAGAGAAGACAACCCCAGGGCACAGTGCTGTTTTTAATAATAGTCCTGTCCCAGGTAGACAACTCGCATCTAGTTATGAGAACTCTAGACAAACATCAAGTTGAGGGGCATTTTATAAAAGCAACTGGATGGTGGTCTACGAAATGTCATTACCAACAATGAAAAGTGAAGAAACCGTTTCAATAGGGATGACTCCTTTCTTTAAAAGGTGACAACTTTGTATGATATATGATTCTGGATTGAGCCTGGGACCAGACACCAAACACTATAATCACCACCTTATTGGAACATTTGGCTAGATGTGACCACAGAATGTGGATTAGATAATGGCACCGGTTCATGTTGATGGCCCAATTTTAGTTAGTGCACAACAGTCACATGCAAAAATATCCTTGGAAAACACATAGTAAAGCATTTCTACAAAAAGGGATAGGATGCCTGCAAATGACTTAGAACTGATCCGGAAAGTGTGTGTATGAGGAGAAAGAGGAAATGAGAGACATGAAGCAAATGGGGCAAGATTTCTGTTAAATGCCATTATATGACAATAGGACATTAAAAATTATTAGACATTAGGGTAGGGATATAGTCCAATTGATGGAGCATTTGCTTATCATCCATGGAGCCCTGGGTTCAGTCCCCAGCATGACATAAACTGGATGAGGTGTTGCGTGCTCATAATCTTAGCACTTAGCTTATAGTCATAGCACTTAAAAGGAGGGACAGGAGGATCAGAAATTCAAGGTTGTCCTCTGGGATCACTGATTAATGAGTTCCGGGCCAGCTTGGACTAGGGATGCTAAATCATCTGTGTCCTGTCTTGGCTTCTGCCATTTCTCAGCTCACAAATTAAATCATCTGTGTCCTGTCTTGGCTTCTGCCATTTCTCACCTCACAAATCCATACTTTTTTATTGGGCTCTTATGAAGCTCTCAATCCAGAGAGCAAATGTGTGGCTGGCTTGTCCTGAAAAGCAAATCTTTAGAATAAACGTAAATGATTTCAAGTTACAGGTTAAGTCTCATCCCATGCTGGAAACGAGAAGGGCATGAAATCACTAAAAGAAATTCCAGAATACACCTTTCTGGGCGACACTTGTAGAATACACTAACTGATGTTTGAGAAGGAACACCACATACTGTTCCTTCTCACACTGCTTCATCCATGCAGGCAGCTGGGTATCCAT